CCCAGCTGGCTCTCCTGAGGGTGGATCATTTGGGCTTATCTGATGGGCTTGGAGACAGAAGGCAAACTGAGCATCCGAAGTCAGAAGCATCGCCCATACCTCCACAGAGGGTTCACCTCATCTCATCTCATCTCATCTCATCTCATCTCATCTCATCTCATCTCATCTCATCTCATCTCATCCCATCTCATCCCATCTCATCGTCTCATCTCATCTTATCTCATCTCATCAGCTCAACCCATCTTCCTTTTCTTCTGGGATAAAGGGATGGATGTTCCTGTCCTCCTGGAGACCAGACTGTCCCACCAGCAGAACCTGTGGACACTGGGGGTGTCACTCTGAGACTCCAGCAGGCTGCCAGTCCTGCCCTGACCCCATGCATGTGCCTGAGCTGGGTCCTGCCCTTGGTTCTGCTCATTCCTGATCTGTCCTGTGGATAGATGATTCATCTTGTTACTTGCCACCTGGCAGCCAGGACCTGACCTTTGGTGTCTCTCTGGAAAGGCAGGTGGCTCACGGCTCCTGCCACCCAAATAAACATTGTAAAAGGCAGTGACTGGGGAAGTGCCTGTTACTTTGCTCCTGAGCAGTCACCATTTTATTGGTTTTGCCAGGCAAGGGCTGGTGACAATGGGGACTTGGGGAAGAGTCAACATGACTCAGTGCTATGCCAGATGCCCCTGGAGACCTCACAACATCTGCCAGACTTCGAAGAGCCAGCAGGGCGTGAGGACAGGCCTTCCTCTGAGAGCTGGGGAGTCTCACCTCACCCAGACACTGGCTGCCAGTGGGACTCCCCAAAAATGTAAGAGGGGCCGCAGGAGCTGCCCTGTACATGTCCCAGCAGCATTCCCAAACTGCCCTGCATGCTGGAAAGGGAGGCTGAGATGTCTGCCTGGCATGGACACGGCGTGGGGCCAGACTGGAGAGGAACCTCGTGCAGGGGAGCAGGGGGCTGCCTCCACCCCTCACCTCACAGGGCTTCTCAGTCCTGGGCAGAGCCCCAGTCCTGCCTGCTGGGCCAGCTTCCTCACTGCCACTGCCCCTCTGGCTGGCACAGAGTAGAGTAGAATAGAATGGAATAGAATAGAATAGAATAGAATAGAATAGAATAGAATAGAATAGAATAGAACAGAACTTCAGTTGGAAGTGACCTACAATGATCATCTCGTTCAACTGCTTGACCAATTCAAGGCTGATCAAAAGTTAAAGCATGTTGTTAATGTCATTGTCCAAATGCCTCCTAAACCCTGCCAGCCCTGGGGTGCCAGCCCTGGGGTGTCAGCCACCTCTCTAGGAAGCCTCTTCCAATGTCTCATCACCCTCTCAGTGGCTG